GTCTGCCGCTGGACTCCTTTTAGCAAAGAGCAGGATTGGACATCACGGTCTTTTGATGCACCCCGCATTGCCCACCTGTGTACCCTGGCCAAGTCCCCACAGCCAGTGGACCCTTTGGCCTAACGTTGGGAAAGTGCGAGGATTGGATCCAGAGGCTCTTTTAATTTCTGTTCTGTCTTTGCAATTCTCACTATGCAGCCATTTAATAAAGAGAAGTACATTCTTTTGTTCAGTGGCATGATGTGCTTTTCCAAACGGTGGCGTTTTTTTTTGGTTTGTTTTTTTGTTTTGTTTTTTTTTTTGAACAGAGTCTCACTTTGTTGCCCAGGCTAGATGAGTGCCGTGGCATCAGCCTAGTTCACAGCAACCTCAAACTCCTGACTCAACAACACTCCTGAGCCTCCTGGAGTAGCTGGGACACAGGATGTGCATCATGCCGGCTAAGTTTTTCTATGTTCTTTTCCAGTTGGCCAATGAATTCTCTTTCTATTTTATAGTAAGAGACCAGGTCTCGCTTCTTGCTCGGCTGGTTCTAACTCTGACCTTGAGCAATTGTATCCGCCCGCCTGGGCCTCCCAGAGAGCTAGGATTACAGGCGTGAGCCACCGCGCCCGGCCTGGTGGTGGCGTTTTGTCCCTCCACTGCGCCCATGGAGATGGGGTCTGTACCCTCTGCCTGTGAAACCGAGTGTGCTTTTGTGACTGTTCTGACCATTGGCATAGGGACAGCGGTGGTGCTATGTGATTTTTTTGAGGTTAGGGCATAAAAGGGTGGATGTAACTGCCACCTCGCTGCCGGGAAAGCTACCGGGTGACTGGTAAAGTCTGTAACTCCCAGGTGGCCAGTCTGTCTGACTCCCGGGTGTGGCCCCCGTGCTGCGAGTTGGCCTACACCTGCTCATTTGAAAGAACCACATCGAGAGGGTTTGGGGTCCACATAAGAGGGACAGACACACCAGCCAGCCCCGAGAAAGAGTACGATGAGTGCGGCTGTTTTAAACCACTGAATTTTTAGAATGATTTGTTAAGCAGCATGAGATACCCGGAATGTAGACAGAAAAAAAAAAAAAAAAAAGGACGAACATTAGGTGAAACTAAAGCAATCGGCACAGTATATATTTATGAAGGATATACAAAAACTGTTAAATATTGTCTCTGGGAAACAGAACTGAGACTACAGCGTGGGAGGGGAACCATCATACACTTTCCATTCTATATTCAGCGACTTGTTGAAGTTTTTACCATGTGCTTATGTTACTTGATAATTTTTTGAAATTTTAACTAAACTGAAGAATGATAAAACTGAGAAGAGCTGGTATTTTCTGAGTTCACAGGATTTTTTTTTTAAAAGCATTGACTTCAATTTATTTTGCAATGCATCTATAGATATCAGAGCCGTGTGCAATGATATTTTAGACTTTTTTCACAAATTCACAAGAGCATGGGACCAGTGAACCGGTTCTTGTCCAGCAGCTCAGATTTGGAGATAAAAGAATATATTTAAAAATGGATAATTTAGGAAGAAAACTTGTTTCCAGAAATAACACAGATCAAAGCAAACACCTCATTGCAATTCATGGTTTTATGCACCTCAGGGTTCTTTCTTTGAAAGATGATGCGATACAAATTTTAACTTTTAAAAAACCCAACAGGTTGTTGAGCTGTTAAGATCATCATCACTACCATCCTCAGCCTAATCCTCATCACCTTGACTGAAATGTATTAAATGTTTTTTTAATGAGATCATTTAGCAGAAGCATTTGGTTAAACTGTAACTGGAATCTCTTTTTAATCCAAATCACTTCTGGCAAGTGAGATAGGTTCTGTCCTAAAGAGACTAGGTTTTCATCAAATAAAGTTGTACAATCCATTTTCTGAATTCAGAAATAGTTTCCTAAATCCAAAGGTTCTATGCCTTAGTTTTGGCTTTGCCTAAGATCTCTGGGTCTCAGATGCGGATGTAATTTTGCTGAGTTATTCTAGCCACCTCCATTGACAGATGAGTAAATATATGAAAAAGGTCACCTCATTAAATGACTTTAAAATAGTGGCTTTCAAACGTGAGCATCCACCAGAATCACTTGGAGGGCTCATTTTTTGTTTTTGTTTTCGTTTTGAGACAGAGTCACACTCTGTCACTTGGGCTAGAGCACCGTGGCATCAGCCTCGCTCACAGCAGCCTCAAATTCCTGGGCTCAAGAGATCCTCTTGCCTCAGCCTCCCAAGTAGCTGGGACTACAGGCCTGCACCACCATGCCCAGCTAATGTTTTCTATCTTTAGTAGAGATGGGGTCTCACTCTTGCTCAGGCTGGTCTCAAACTCCTGACCTCAAGTGATCCTCCCTCCTCGGCCTCCCAGAGTGGTAGGATTACATGGAGGGCTTGCTAGATTACAGATAGCTGGGCCCATCCTCTGAGTCACTGATGAGGGTTTGGGATGGAGTCTGAGAATCTCTAGCAAGTTTCTAGGTGAAGCAGATGCTGCCAGTCCGGGCCCACACTTTGAGAACCGCTGCTTTCAAATAATTCCTTCTTGGACCAAATTGCGGAGTTTTCTTCTCTTTTAGACAAAAATCTTTCAAATATGCTCAGATTTTTTTTTGTTTTTTACTTGATTGTTGCTTAACCACACTCTGTATGTTTATTATCCCTTCCAGATTTCTGAGAAAACCACACATACCCTGGCATTTTCCCTCAGCTGTTCTTATCTGTCTTTAAATTTTTAGAGCCACCAAGATTTGGAAGTTGGGCCACAGCCTGTCACAAGGATGAATAGTCCTGACACCTGTGCACAGAGCTCCTGCCCCTACTCTGTTCTTGCTCCTGCGCCTGCTCTGGTACCTGCTACTCACCCTCGAGTGGGGGTTTGAGCCTCTCTAAGACACACTTTGTATTTATAGCTGCTTCTCTAAGATGTCACATAAAATACCTCTTTTGTATGAGATGCATCTTAAGCTTTTGGTGCTTTGCTGTGCAAAGCGTGCTTGGACTCAAACGTTTTTGAGTAAATATTTAGTTTAAATGGAAGAGCCCACTGTGGTCACCCTCGTGAAACAGGGTTTGTGATCGCCTTTGGGTATCACAGGAGCAATAGGTCTTGATGTCAACAGGTCATATAACCTTCTGTTTATTTTGAAAATAATTACAGCCCAGGGCTGTGCATACATTAACACAGCATATGAGGGTTGACATAAACATTGCCCAGGTAACCCACAGTCCCCGTAGGAGGGAGTAGGATCCTCTCAGAGTAAGTCTGTTGTAGTCAACACTTATTGAGCACCTGCTGTGTGCCAGAGGCTGGGCTGGTGGGGCGAGCCCAGGAGGATGGGTAGGATGTGTCCGCAGAGAGTGGGCAGGCAGGCTTTGGAGCGATAGGTGCTGTCACTAAGCTCGACTTCCGTCCGTCTATGAAATGGGAATAAAACGGGAACTTCGAGTATCTGTCCCAAGACAGTAATGGGATACTGTCTTGCCTTAGTCTCTCTGCTTGGGCTTCCATATCCTTTGTGTGGCTTAAACAACAGAAATGTGCTGTCTCACAGCTGTGGAGGCTGGAAGTCCAAGGTCAAGGTTCTGCAGGGTCTGGTTTCTGGCGAGGGCTCCTGTCCTGGTTTACCGATGGCTGCCTTCTCGATGGCCTGCTCACGTGGTCTTTCTAGGTGCGAGCACGTGGAGACAGAGAAAGAGAGAGAGAGCTGTCTTGTGTCTCCTTTGATAAGGGCACTAATTCCATCATAGGATGCACCTTCATGACCTCATCTCACCCTAATCACCTTCCAAAGGCCCCATCTCCAAATATCATCACATCAGGGGAAGGCTTAGGGCTTCAACGTGTGAATTTTGGGAGGACGTAGTCAGCCCGTCCCATGCGTGCCAATTCCTGGGCCAGTCCCTGGAGTTAGATGATCGCTCTGTTATTCCGGGGCTTTTCTCAGGAATGTTCCTTCCTCCTTTAGCCTTCTGCCACCAGCTGTCACCAGATGTAGCATGTTGAGAAGGCTGGGGGAAAAAAAAAAAAAAAAACCCTGAACAGTTTTAACAGGCTTTTAAATTCACACCCTCTAGCTACTGCCCTGAACAGAGATTTGGGGATAAATTTCATGAGCACGGACTTAGGCTTCCCTTCTTCTGGGAGCTGATTCCCCCAGTACCCTGCTGGGTTTAGTACCGATTCGTGTCTCACGCTAAGGTGGCCAAAAGCCAGGTGAGGAATCCCTCATGCATTGTTTCTCTAAGCTGACATTGAGACTGATTTGAACATACCAGAATTTCTCTAGGCGTGTTCTGATGTTTTGATCCATTCAGAGGTCCTGTGAATGGGCTCTAAAAGTGATTAACTTTTGTTAAAAGAATGATATCTGTCACACAACTTACTTCTGAAATTCCAGTGATGGATTGAATTGCTTGAGCCACGTGTATCTTCCGTTTACTTGGAAATCGTCACTGCGTTAGAGGTTTGCTCGCGTGTTGTGAATTGGGCATTTCCCGAGCGAAGGAAGGGAGTCAGTGGGAATTCAGGGCGACTCGCTTGAAAGGAGAAGGGAATGGCAGGCCACAAGGCTCCCAAGTTGAGGATTATGTCCCTCGTAGGGGAGAAGACCCTCACCTACCCCAAAACGTTCGAATCGTGCTTGCGTGCACCACGGAGAATACCGCGTGTTTTCGTCCCTGCAGAAAACCAAGCCGCTGCTGACGGAGTTTGCGGTGAAGTCCACCATCATTTCGCGGTATGCCTTCACCACGGTTTCCTGCAGGATGCTCAACCGAGCCTCGGGGGAGCAGCAAGTCGAGTTCCAGATGCAAATCCCGGTGGCCGCTTTCATCACCAACTTCACGATGTAGGTGACGCCTGGGTGGGAGAGGAAGACTGCCACGCGGGGCCCTCGGGGCGAGCCTGGGCTGGTGGCAGGGCCGCGGGCTTTGGCTGTGAGAGTTTGCGTGGTGGTAGATGGTGTGTGGGCGAGAAGGCTGACTCCTTTGTTCCTTCCTCTCTTCCTCCCTCCTTCCTGTCCTTCCTTCCTTCCTTTCTTCATTCCTCCTGTCCATTCTCTCTTCTTTCCTCCATCCTTTCCTCTTTCTTATCTTCCCTCCTTCCCACCAGCAAACGAGTGTCCATTATAGGTCAGCTACCCTTCAAGGGGATTGATATGCTGCTTTTTTTTTTTTTTTGAGACAGAGTCTTGAAAGAAATTAATGACCAACTAAAAATATATAAACAAAAAATGAGCCGGGCATGGGGCGCATGCCATGTAGTCCCAGCTACTCGGAGGCTGAGCAGGAGGATCCCTTGAGCCCAGGATTGGAGGTTGCTGTGAGCTAGGCTGACGCCACGGCACTCACTCTAGCCTTGGCAACAGAGCGAGACTTCTGTCTCAGAAAAAAAAAATGATATGCAAAACAAGGTAGGTGTTGGGTTTAGGTTTTGTCTGTGCAATGTTCAAGATGGTGAACCCTCGTGAAGTTCGAACCTATCTTGTGATTTCTCCAGCAGAATGACAGAGGCCCGAGGGTTGGGTCCTACCATTTGGACCTGCTGAAAATGGCCCTGGGACGAAATGAATGAGTCAAGGGTAGTGCCCTCGTCCGGAAATGTCTCTTTCTGCA